GCCACGCTACGGTTTCGTAGAATTCTTGAACTCGAAGAGTCTGTTGGTTTATTTGTATAGTTTGCATAGTAATTACTAGGGCTGTTTTCGACTAAGGATTTTCATAGTCGAATCTGATTCGTTAGATTTTGCCGTAGTCGACTGATAGTCGAACTTTTTTTTTTTTTTTTTTGATAGCAGCTAGACGTTCTGTTGAATAACTGTTCGTCTGTTATAGGACAACTCGCTTTACGTTTATTTAAAATGAACAGCAAGACAACTAGAAGTGAATGTGCTTTCCATTAAATGAATCCTTAACAAAAAAAAAAAAAAAAAAAAACGTTGCAATGAACGTGCTTTGTTTTAAATAAATCACACACAGTAAACAAAACCTTAACAAAAAAACTTTGCAATGAACTTTGCAATTTAGACGCGCAAACTGCGTGCCGGTGCGGTGAGACGTGCATGCTCGGGCAGATTCGCCTTGAAGTCGTTCATCCTCAGATGCGGCGCCGCGCGCGCTGTTACCAAAAAAAAAGCCGTGCACACAGCCAAGCGAAATGGGGTCTTGCGCACCCAACGCGTCATTTTGCCGCGCGCACCTTCGCGCTTGTGCGGACGCGTTGAGTATAAACAAGACTTTACTCCGTGTCAGCGCACGCTCTGATCGGTAAAGGTGCACAGACCTCTCCCGAATCATCTCCAGCAGTAGCAGCCTCTGAAGCACCACTAACTCCGCCTCCGTTGAGATGATAAATTTCCTCGTAAGATGATATATTAGTATTTAAACATTCTCTATGATAAAAAAATTTTGTAAAAAATATTTTAATAGCACGGTTTTGGCGGTTATAGAGTTCTAATGACGGTGTTCAACTATAACCGTCGGTCTCACGGTTATATAATAACAGTCACACCCCTATTGGTTACAAAACACTTCCCTACTATTCGACTATGAGGTTCATAGTCGAATCAGACCTCTCCGAATCGAATCGTCGAATCCTCGAATATTAGAAGTCAGCCCTAGTAATTACCGTTATTTCGTTCCTGTGTGTAGTGCGTGAATGAGGGTTGGAGATTGTGTGTTTTGCGGTAGTATGCCATACGGAACCGTTGCCACTGAACCTACTTTAATGAAGACAGTGGGGCTCGACAGCCTCAGTCAAACGAGTTGGCACGTATGGTTGGGTTGCGGAGAGATTGTGAGATTGTGGTTAGGTCACATGTGAACTACGAGGAAGGAGCAACCTCAGCAGCAGGAGGGATGTAAAGGTCAGTAAGCTGGGCTGAGTTGAGTGGGGGACAGAGGGGGGTGACTCTGGGATGCCAGAGTCACTGTCGAGCCCTCTTGAGGTGTCGTGGGCTAGTCGACGAAACACTGAGGATGGAAGGTGCCCACTTGAAGACCCTAGAGATGTCCCCTACTCGGCTCAATCCAGACAGTTGTCGTGCTGGTCCACTGGGGAGACCACACTGTAGTTGCAGCCGTTGTGTGTGCTGACGCGCCAAGGACACTGCAGCCGTTAACGCCGGACAGAAGGAGATTCACATCACCACATGGAAGGAAGCGTAAATGGATGGAGATGCATAGGTTACTATAAAGCTACGTCTTAGTTTGTGCTTATCTTGGCGAAAGCCGAGTACAAATCAGCATGAAGTTTTAACATCTACTCTCGTGTAATGGAAATCTTAAATTTTCACAGCACTGCAGACACTATGATGTTTTTGCACACCCCTTTGTAGTATTTTAGCCTGGTTATTTCCACGTCCAAACATCAAAATGTTTTTTTTTACCACAAACATCTTTCAAAAGTGCTAACCAATAACATAAAATGGTCTTTTTATATTTCTTAAAGCTGCAGTCGGCAAGTCTGGCAGATTGAGTGGACTTAGGCAAAATTTTGAATGTTTCCAACTCTCATGCCCCTCCCCCACTATCAACGGATAACCCTCCCTCCGAGTTTGTGCTCGTCAGTCATGGCTCCAGACTGCGACCAAATAGTCGCATTTTGCGACCAAAATTTGAGAGTGTGCGGCTGAATTTTACATCCAGTCGCACATGTGCGACCAGTAAATTTGTCCCTTTTTTTTTTTTTTTTACACGTTAAACGTGGAAGGGGCTTATCAATGAATCCGGAATGTGTGGCAGGCCAATGAGTGTGAGAAGAATAGGGAATGGCCACTGTAAGTGGCTAATGTGTGGAGGGGGAGGGCCCTAGAGATAATCGAGCTCGCGTTTAAACGTCTGTGGGAAGGAGACGGAGACAACCTGCTGTGCGTCTGAGCAATGAATAAAGGAACTATTGACTCGTTCTTCCAACCTGCGGCTAGTGTGCCAGTTAAATTCACTTGCTGGCTTCCCAAATAATACATTACAACAGCGAGAATCAAAAAAACGTGAACAAAACGATTACTCTTTGTAAACACTGTTCAATGTGAGTGCCAAATGCTCGAACATGACCTGTCATTTACGCCGCATCACCCGAGAGTTGATAGCGCACGAGCGCAGGCGAGACCTGAACTACAGACGTTACCATCGGTGTTTAAACTAAACTCATTTATGTTTTGCCAATGTAAACATTCAAGAGCAAGACGCGAAAGAGAACTTGCGTCTAGAAGATTTGTGCGTGCACACGTGTGTGTATGTGTAGTAGGGATGGTAAGATTCACCGATTCGCATCGGTGCATCGGCATAAAAGCTAACGATGCGATGCATCGATTTAAATAAGTGTGCATCGATACAAGTTGGCATTTGTATCGCGATGCATCGTTTCTAACAGGGGCGGACTGGCCATCTGGAGCACTGGGACTTTTATTTTATGAGCTGTGGATTTTTGCAAAACAAATAACACTCTCCCGGTGGAGTTAGAAGCTCTGTTTTTTTTTCTAAAACCACTTTATTTATGTTGTTCAGTCGGATTATAGTATCGATTTCACTGAATATGATAAAAAAAATGTTGCCGACGGCAGCTTTAACAATAATTATTATCATGTCGGGACCAATCAAAAGTGTCTTCCATTCACAAATTTGAAATAATATGAATAATCCAAATTTGCTTGAAATGTTTGACAAATAAGTTTGATAATAGACTGGTGAAGGGATGACATATTTTAGACCAACCCTGTAGTTAGCATCACCCTGGTTCTCTTGACAAAAACCCAATAGAATTTTTCTATCGGCTTTTGGGCTATTGCAGAAAATAAGGTCTGTGAATAACAAAAGCTTATGGTTCTTACACATTTTGTTCATTGTGATGAACAAAATAGTGATATTTTGAAGATACAATCAGCAGAATTCAAAAGCTAAACTTAGGCTTTACACGAAACTACAGCACAGTCACATGATCTCAACGCCACAATCACTAAGCTTCCGACAACTCATTCCACTCTAAATACTGTACCACGAAAGTTTTAATGTGACCTGCTTGTATTTTAGTATTTTCACAACGTTTTAAAAATGTCTTATCCAGATTTAAGTTTATAACTAACATAGCAGGTTAGCTTTATTGTCATTTTGAGTATATTTAAAGAATACAAGGTAGATATTTTCACAACGTTTCCAAAATGTTTTAAAAAAAAAAGAAATTTAGACGGTTTCTTGAATGTATTAAAATGTTAAATAACCTAATAACCTAAATAAAATACATAAATAAAATGTAGGTATTTTATAATTAAAAATGATAAAATCTTTATAATTAAATATTTATAATTAATTAAATATTTATAATATTTCTAATTATATTTATAATTAAATAAAATACAGTAATAAAATACCTAAATAAAATTAACCTAAATAAAATAACCTAACTAAAACCCAAATGCAGCATTGTAAAATTTTGTAAAAGCATTTTGTTCTTGTTGGGAAACTCTTAATGTTGAGTTTTCCTGGCTTAAGCCATGATCAAACATTAAATATGTCACACAAAATTACCAGTTATTTAAGAGAGACAGAACATAAAATGTCAAATCCAATCTGATGATTTGTGGTTTTATTAAAGGTCACTGTTAAAGCTGATTTGTAACTACTGTTGTGCTAGATATTATTTTAGGTTAAAAACTATGGAAGGAGTACATTAGAATGTCAGAAATGAGTTGAAAGGCTAAAAGCTATGGGAAGAGTTATTGCAAATTAAAATTAAATGCGAGTAAGGCTATTTTAAGGTGATTTCTTTCTGGTTCAATGGAATATGTAAATGGCTTAGAGCTGCAGAATCAGATTTTCTTAGCACAATACTAATTTGTATGTCCACATTGAATAATTATTTGAAGAAGTATTTGAATTTATAGTGCCGGAACAATGAGAATATATGATTTATGGTAACTTTTGGACCAAATATTTCACTATCGGTGGGGCTACAGTGCAATGTGACAGATATAGAAACTAAGCCACCAATGAAAATGTCAAAATGTATCAGTTGGTTTAACAAAAAGTCATGTAAGAGTTATCTGTTTCCGGTACATCAGCCTGAGGGTGTAAATGAGGGCAGTCCTGTTCAACCCTTCAGGATGATATCTCAATTCACTGCGCTACGACCAACTAATAGGCCAGTCAGAAAAGGTGACAAAAGATAATTAAATATATATATAAAAAGAGAATATATGACTAATAAATATAACTAATAAAATGGAGAGAGGAGAAAACTGCTAAAAGGAAAAATGGTAAATCAGACATGATACATCAGCACAAATTACCTCTAATCTTGTCAAATGGGTGCTTAAAAATAAAAATAAAGTGTGGTTATAGACACATAAGGTTAAAGGACTTGATCATTGATCACCTTAATTGATTTGAACTAATAAAAAAGTAGCTGGATTCTTCTTCATTTTTATACACTTCTTTTATCTAAACTGAAATTTTAGACTGAGTGGCCATATTTCCAGACTGTTGTTTCATCAGTTTTAAGTCAGACTGACAAATCGCCGAATGTTTTTGTAATGTACTAATACATTCATCCATGTGTTGTGATCCTTTTTTCTATAGGAACACAAGCACTCATTCCGCTCTCTGCACATTCTCTTTTCAGAGAGGTGACTCAGTTGTGGTGATGTGAGAAGAGGATCTGTTATTGATGTTAACCACGTTGGGCACTCAGCCAGCGCATTCCACCCAGATGCCCACAGGTGATTGGCCAGTGCGACTTGGCAGCTCAGATCCAACCAAAGGGGTTGCTGTGAGTGACCTTGGCAGATGGTCAGAGCCAAAGCTGTATCAGCCACCTCGGGTCATTTTTAACGCATTTCCCAATTTATTCACTGTCTCTCCCTCCTCTCTGTCATCCTCTATCTTTCTATCTCTCTGTTTGGTGATTTTTTTAAAGAGATGATATTGCTTCTGACTGTAATACCTTCTGAGGGTGACCGTGTTTCATTTTATTCGATGTGCATAAGAACTTCTCATATCGAAATATTAACCCCAATTCAACCTCTTCATAATTTCAGTCTGAAACAGGACACGCTTATATATGTATTTTTTTTTCATGTATGTGTGTTCTTGATACAAAATGGCTTTCTTTTTTTCATTTAGGATTTGATTTACATTCAAAAAATTATTTTTGCTGGTTTGTTCTTTTAATTAAAATGGCTAATGCAACAGTATTTGTTTGTAAACTTTTTTGGTCAACTTACTTTCATTGCTTTCAACCTACAAAAACCAGATGTTTGCTTTTTTTTTAGGAGTAGCCTACATTATTTTTTGTTGCCTTTTGTTGGGACTACATGATTACTTTTGTTACCTGCAACTGGCAAGGGATATTTAGTTCCCAGCATGCTTTGTATGGCAAGGAAATGATGGAATTAAGTAATATTTTATGTGTTTTTGAGCAATATGAGAAATGGAGGAGACTTGTTAGTGTTTAATGTTCTGTTTTGTTAGGATTTAGACTAATTTTGTTATGTTGGTGGTTTGGGGATTTCCGGTGTGGTAAAGAATGGAGCTTGTGCTCTGGTTGAGAACGGATTCATTATGTTGTTTTACTAAGAAGCAATTAATATGCAAATGCTATTGGAGAGGCCAGATTTCTCTTCCTTGTGCTTGCCAACACCATACATTACATAAGGTAAACAATAAGTTGAGTAGGCTAATATGTGCTAATGCTTGATACAGATTTAGTTGGGTTACTTCAATGATATGTCTAATTTTATTGCGTTTTATAGTTTAATTTAATGTTTACAAAGTGTTGAACCTTTTCACAACTGAATTAATTTCAAGAATTATGATTATTGTGCAATTTCAAGGTATCTGTGATCTCTCTGTCTTTCTTTTAGAGAACATTCTTCGAATCTTTTAATGACATGTTCTTCCATAACACTATTTGGTTCCATGTGGAAAGTGTTCCATGACAACACATAATCATAACCCTTTAGCTCAAAGAAACAAAAAAGCATTAACTAGATTCACATCATATCATGAAAGCAAAGACGAAAAGAGAAAATCATAGATAAACACCAAAAAGACGTACCATATAAAATGCTGATGAAAAGCAGATGACAAACTAAATGCTAATTGACATCCATCAGCGTTGTCTAGCGGTCCAAATGGCCATCCATTACCCACACAAATGCGAGTCTGTGATGATAAGAGAGAGACAAATGAATCCAGGACCCAGTGGAGCTTTGCTATTGAGTTAAGCACAAGCTCCATCATAGCAGCCTCACACACAAATGGACGCACACTCTATAATTACTGTCCAGATATGTGTATGTTGTGATGCTGGAGGTGGAGTTTGTATGAGGTGAGTTGGAAAGCATCAAAGCGCTATGTGTAATTATTTTTGGCTTGCGGACTCCTGTCTCATCTGAGGAGAGAGAAGAGAGGAGCAGTTAAACCTGTGAGGCAACAATTACATCTCTGATTCTTTGACTGACAGCAAGAGATGCTCAGAGGTGCGTTAGAGTGAATCCTAATCTGAAAACTGCTCTCGCTCATTGCCTTTCACTCTGTTCTTTAGCTGTTCTCTAATCACTTTAGTTTCAGATGGTTCAGTATAATACCTATCCACCTGCCCTCTCAACTTCTGTCCTTGTAGTTTATCTGTCCTTTTGTCGGCAATACACTTTCTTAACTTTCTCTCTCTCTATGCCTCTCACACAATGTTCTTCAGTGAAGATTTTACTTTAGTGTTATCCATATATGGTTCTTGATAGCCTAGGTCAAACATAAAACAAAATACCAGTACTTATCATATCATTAAGAACAAAAAGGTGGAGGAATTTACAGCACCAGATGAGTTGGTGTTTAAAGGGATAGTTTTCGTTTGGCAGCACTGTTATCACATTTTATAGTTGATTTGAAATATATTATTGAAGCAGTGTTGGAGATTTCAGTCTTTTTCACATTAAAGTAGACAGTAGCAATAATTTATGAAATCTCTCTGTATTGCCTCCCTCGGGCTCAGTTTTAATGTAGCCTATATGACATGACATGCAGTAGGCTAACCTACATTCATACAGCTTTAACAGCCTATAGCTAGCCATGGCAAGAAAAGTTCCAAATAAATGCTATAAAGGTAGATAAAATATGATATATGAACAGACAAAATATGCAGAGGGAACAAAACACACACACACACAAATAAATTTCCTTCCTTCTTTTATGAATTGCGTGCTGTTTCTGCATTCGTGCACTTATTTTGGGGCCTACGTTTCTGGCCTTGCGATGTATGTTTGCATAAAAAGAAAGTGGTACCCAAAAACGTCTTCTGTGTGAACTGGCCCTTAAGGATACGTTAAAAGCATCTCTTGAATGGGGAAAATAACAGATATTAAACAAATTAACAGCCCTTATATTTACATTTAATCATTTAGCAGACGCTTTTATCCAAAGTGACTTACAAATGAGGAGAGCAGAAGCAATTAAACTAACAATAGGGCAACAAAATGCAAGTGCTGTGACTGTGACCATTCCAAGTATAGTCTAATGCAGTAGCTACACGTAATTTTTTAAAATATTTTTTTATATTATATTATATACATGTATATATATATAGCCTATATATATATATATATTACGTGTACTGTATATGTTATGCTGTATATACTACTTTTTATCGCACAAAAATCAATGTGATGTAATGAAATCTCTTAGACAGATACCACGTAGCCTATTTCGGACGCAGAATAATGCGCTTCAGTCACAGTGTAGCTGAGCGCGTGGAATCATGGGTCGACCTGCATTCAAAATTGCTTGATTAGAAAGCCTGTTCAACATCCACTTCACGGCATCCAACAGTTTATATAGCCTGGTGCAATTTTCCCTACAGCAACCTTTTTTAATCAATCATCTGCAATATTTTGACAGACAACCCGGAGCGAGTTCACAAGAATTAGCAACAGACTGCAGAAAAAGTTATTTCTTACACGACGCGCGAGCCTCAACAATAAACCTGCTGATTCTACATTACTTTGCACAGCAGGTGATTATTTCGAGAGTAATTATCTTAACATTTATTGTTGAAGGTGAATTTGTTAGACAGGGATACGACAGTATAGCCTATTAAAGGTGCCTTGTGTAAGAATTGAGGTAAAAATATCCAAAAAATGAGCTACACGCATCAAAAGAATGAGAAGAAATAAGGGCGATGATGTCATTAAAAAAATGACAAGTTATAGTGCTGCAGAGATATCAACCTGAATTAGCATGCTAAATTACTAGCCACGGCCCGACAGGTGTCATAATACCAGTTTCGGCCATGGGAAGCGTATGCGGGCAACATAACCACCAGCCAAACTGCAATACACGAATAACTCGCACGACTTGTGGGCGTACTTGAACCTGATGTCAATCGTGTGGAAAGTACAGCCCACTACTACATTTCAGTTCAGGGAAGAGAGCGGAAGAATGGCTGAGGCCCTTGGCAAGAGACCCTTACCACCACCACAACCACCCGCTGCAGGGAAAAAACCGCGCTCGGTTCACGTGTGCTAGGGATCTGTCGTGTAACATTTACAAGCGCCAAAACGTTATTTATTGTTTGAATTGCGTAATAAAATTGACAGCATCTGAGAGCTGAGATTTTTTTTATATCATACCTGCTCTATCTAGTCTGTCGGTCTCCGTGTCCTCTTTGCTTTGCGATTTTTCTGTGCGTGACAAAATTGATGTGTGGCATGACTGAGAGCGTGTGAAAAGTGTCAATTGCGTGTGTCTCACGGTGAATTCGTGAGAGTTGGCAGCTCTGAATGGCGCTAGCTTGGTCGACATCAGCGAATGCTGTCTGTCAAATTAATGTAATTCAAACTAACAATAAAAATGTAATATGAAAAAAACTAATATGAACATATTCACTGGTAAAGGTGAAGGGGAGTAGCGTGAAGATGTCATATTTAAAAATCACTTGACATCAACCAACGTTCCTCTGGAGTCAAAACGTCCTCTATTAGGAGTTGGCGCGGCTATGGCTCTAGGGTCGTTGTGAAGGCTGGGGCATAGAGACTATGCCGTTTCTCGTTTGTTACTCTAGAGTTAGTCTCGCGTAGCCAGACCTTCAGACTGACGGCTGAAGGTCTGGAATTCATAGCAGCTTTCTTTGGCCAAGGCCCGCCCATAAGGCTGACATGTCAAACAACCAATTACAGTTCGTTTCGTTCAGCGTCACGTTTCGGGGCGTGGAAATGTCCCCACAACAACAGACCGGCGTGCAACAAGTCAGTCAGCATAGAAAATCTAAGAAGGAGAAGAAAACTTCAAGAGTCTATGCCGTGAACCTCGCACACTTTTGAGAATCCTACGTTTAGCTGATCTTGATAAATGCTCATTGTCACTCATGTAAACACAACAGTTTTTCTTCCGCAATCACACGTCTGCGCTTTGTTTCCCGGCGGACCGAAAATAAACGCGACACTCGCGCCCCCCGGAAATCCGATAAAATTCAACCAATCAGATGACGACTTCGACATTCCTGAAGTGTTTCCAGTTAAGTGTACCATATGCATCAGACGTTTAGCCAACGTTCCGTGGGCGTGACGTCTGAGGCTGAGACTACTCTAGAGTAGACCAACTCACTTTCTGGAGGCATACTGCCCCCATCTGGTATGGAATGTGGAGTATGAATTGTTTTTTTGGCGGACATTACACAAGGCACCTTTAAGTCTTTCGTATAAGATACAAAACACAGAGCATTTGACATGCACTCGCTAATTGAATAGTAATTTGTTGGGAGGACTACTCGACCATTTTGGCCTAACGTTATCCCTAACAGAATTGGACTCCGCTTTAAGCTCAAATCTCCCACCTGGATTAACTGTTTGACAGAAGATAATTGAAATGAAACTGGAGTGAAAGGAACCTGGAAGAGTGAGGTAAGCAGCCGCTTATTCACTAAATTATTGTTCTGTGATTGACAGTTTACATTAGCTCTTCCCTTGTATAAACTAGGCTAAAGTTAAAAAGGCTTTACCTCCACCGCTCCCCCTCTCTCTCCCTCGTTCTCCCTCGGTGACTCACTATAATGACCGAATATGAAATAGGAAAATGAATGCAAGCAAGTGAAAAACAAAAA